ATTTTTGACTCAACTTCTCTAAGACACTTAAATTTTCCCTTTTAACTGATTAAGTTAGGCGTTAAAATTAAAGCACTATGTCTCCATATGATTGTGGTCTCAACTAGTAAATTCAATCCTCCGGGTTTCAGTTTGTTACTTTGGCAAAACTATAAAATGCCACATTTTATTTTTCCATGTGGAAAATGTGAATCACATTTCACCTCAATCTGTTAAAAGAGAGAGAGAGAAAGAAACAGGGAACAGGAATCAGAGAGATACCAGAACGCGACAGAAAGACAGATTAGAGGAGAGGAACTAGATAGCATATACACAGACTAAGCTTTTGAAAGTTTTGATAGGAGGAGGAGCAGGAAAAAAAATTAGGTAATAGCTGAAAGAGGACATGAGTCAAGAGCTTTGCTTTGTTTTGTTTTCAGGTGGAGGAAGGGAAGTAATGTTTCATGATGTTATGAATGATCCAGAAGGAAATAAACAATCTCTGGTAAAGATGCAGAAGAGAGAATTACTGAAGTGACTTCTTTAGCTAGGTAAAGAAGAGGAGGAAAATGGGGGAGGAGGAGGAGGTAAAGGAGGAGGAGAAGAAAAAGAACTACAGTGCACAAGTTTAGGAATTACCCTTAGAAGCACAATAATGTCTCTATATTTAAAAAGGGAAGCCTGTCAGTACAGAAGCTAATGAGTGTGTGATTTGGTGAAGAAGGTTGTGGGCTGTGGGCATTATCTTCGATTTGCTTTCCTTTCACAATGAAATTGTTATCAGCTGAGTGAATGGAGAAAAATCCTCAAGGAATAAAGGGAATGAGCAGAGTGTGTTGATGGCCGCAACAAGGAAGAGTAGAGTCTGATGGCTTGAAATTCAAAACTGAGGGTTTGCAACGAGGAATATGAGAGAATGGGTAATGAGGAGAGAGGAGATATATATATGTTCTAAACTCACAATGTACAATTTGGGAGAATAAACAGCCATAACTTTAAAAGGCTGCAGGAAAGCTATAGCTTCAGGGAATATAAAAGTTTCAATTGGAGTCAGAATCTTGAAGGGATATTCAACAAAGATAAAGATGTACTGGAACCAAGATGGCGGCATAGGTTAACGCCGGAGTTTGCTGCTTTGAACAACTACTTCAAAAGTGAAACCAAAAAACGGAACGGACATCACCCAGAACCACAGGAACGCTGGCTGAGTGGAAGTCCTACAACTAGGAGGAAAGAAAAACGCATACGGACACTCAGAGGAGGCGCAGTGCTGAAGTCAAATTCTGAGGTGCGGAGTGCGCGGAGCGGGCTGGCGGCGGAGGGCGTGGTTGGCGTTTTCAATCGGGAGGGAGTCGCAGACTCTGAGCTCCAGATCCCGGCGAGTCTTTAGGGACCCAGACTCAAACGGGAGAAGCGGGACTGTCTGGCTTTGGTCAGAGCGAGTGCAGCTTTCTCTCCGAGGTTTGCAGCGGGTGCTGGGACTCAGAGAGGCAGAGCCCCTGGGGACAGGACTGAGAGCCGCCATAACTGCTCTCTCCGGCCCACCCTGTTGATCCTGTGCGACCCGCCCCGCCCAAGCCCTGCACACAGGCATTTGCCGGATAGCCTCAGGCAAAGGCTAGATTAGCATCTCCCTAGAGGACAGAAGTTCTCTCACTGCTGACACAGCTGATTCTCATAGCCACTTGGCCTGGAGGTCAAACCCTCACTGGAATTAGCTACAACAATCAAGATTTAACTATAAGACTGCGAACAAAGACCACTAGGGGGTGTACCAAGGAAGCATAACAAAATGCGGAGACAAAGAAACAGGACAAAATTGTCAATGGAAGATATAGAGTTCAGAACCACACTTTTAAGGTCTCTCAAGAACTGTTTAGAAGCCGCCGATAAACTTAATGAGATCTACAAGAAAACTAATGAGACCCTCGATCTTATATTGGGGAACCAACTAGAAATTAAGCATACACGGACTGAAATAACGAATATTATACAGACTCCCGACAGCAGACCAGAGGAGCGCAAGAATCAAGTCAATGATTTGAAATGCGAGGAAGCAAAAAACACCCAACCGGAAAAGCAAAATGAAAAAAGAATCCAAAAATGCGAGGATAGTGTAAGGAGCCTCTGGGACAGCTTCAAGCGTACCAACATCAGAATTATAGGGGTGCCAGAAGATGAGAGAGAGCAAGATATTGAAAACCTATTTGAAGAAATAATGACAGAAAACTTCCCCCACCTGGTGAAAGAAATGGACTTACAGGTCCAAGAAGCGTGGAGAACCCCAAACAAAAGGAATCCAAAGAGGACCACACCAAGACACATCATAATTAAAATGCCAAGAGCAAAAGATAAAGAGAGAATCTTAAAAGCAGCAAGAGAAAGAAACTCAGTTACCTACAAGGGAATACCCATACGACTGTCAGCTGATTTCTCAACAGAAACTTTGCAGGCCAGAAGGGAGTGGCAAGAAATATTCAAAGTGATGAATACCAAGAACCTACAACCAAGATTACTTTATCCAGCAAAGCTATCATTCAGAATTGAAGGTCAGATAAAGAGCTTCACAGATAAGGAAAAGCTAAAGGAGTTCATCACCACCAAACCAGGATTATATGAAATGCTGAAAGGTATCCTTTAAGAAGAGGAAGAGGAAGAGGAAGAAAAAGGTAAAGATACAAATTATGAACAACAAATATGCATCTATCAACAAGTGAATCTAAGAATCAAGTGAATAAATAATCTGATGAGCAGAATGAACTGTTGATTATAATAGAATCAGGGACATAGAAAGGGAATGGACTGACTGTTCCTGGGGGGGAAAGGGGTGTGGGAGATGCGGGAAGAGACTGGACAAAAATCGTGCACCTATGGATGAGGACAGTGGGTGGGGAGTGAGGGCGGAGGGTGGGGCGGGAACTGGGAGGAGGGGAGTTATGGGGGGGAAAAAAGAGGAACAAATGTAATAATCTGAACAATAAAGATTTAATTAAAAAATAAATAAATAAATAAATAAATAAATAAATAAATAAGAAAAATCATAAAGAAAAAGATATAAAAAAAAAAAAAGAAAAAGATGTATAGGATTTGGCTGATCAGGGTAACTACTCATCTGGTAAGTGTTAGACATTGACCTGAATGCTGAGCTATATTGGGTCATCACATCCCCCCCAAAAGTTTGTTGTGATAACACTGACGTTTGAGTAGATAATCTGACATAACAATGAGTACTTAGTAGAATACAACCTGTCCTGCAATCTTAAATTATATAATCAGTCTAATATTTCTTATGACTTATCTACAATAGCAATCATCTGGCTTTCTCTTATAGTCTCAACCTGAGATCACATTTTAATTTAATCAATTATTAATACATATTTTTATCTTATACTTATCATGTATGTAATTCATTATATATTTCTTTCCCACTGGAAAGCTTTTCTATATAGTCTTCTTTGCAAATTGGATAATTGGTATGTGTGTATGTAGGCTTGCAGTTTTATTTCTTATATCATCCTCTGCCATTTAACTTCTTTTTAAAACATGTTCCAGCAGCCTTGCAATATAAATTATATCTCAGAAAATCTTGCTTTTTCCCACATGAGTCACTTAGTGTTGTTAATGCCTATAAGTCTGCCAATGAATACTTCCATCCTCTATGGGGCCTATTGGTTTCTCCTCTTCCTCAGCCTCCTTTATATCCATAGTAATTATTCATCTAACACTGCTTTTCAAAGAAAATCTGTCTAATAACCCATTAGACATGACGTTTATTAATGCTATAGGATTTTCCTAAACTTGTTAAAATTATTTTCTTCTCTATAAAAAAAAGTTAAAACACATTGTCTTGAAAGAATCTAGATCTCAAATCACATGCAGGTGATACTAGATATTTTTACTGAAAAGTCTCCAGTAAAAATCATGGAAGGAATAGAGTAACTGAAATGACATGTAAGATTTAAGTAAGTACAACTCGGAAATTATTACTACTAATAATTTCAAAACAAAGTTATTTCAAATGTTTTCCTTTTGAAATATAATGTACTGTTCTTTCCATTAAAAATATTAGGAGGAGGATCAGGTAAAGGTGAGAAATCCTTAAGAAAATTGGACAAGGTCCTATTGTAATTTATGATAAGAATTATCTATGGTGAGACAAAATTGGACCCCTTTTTTAGACTAATAGTACAACCTAAAAACATGTGTGGCTTTCACACTAAAAAAAAAAAAAAAAAAAAAAAAGAAGAAAAAATTATTGAAATGCCAGGACCCTCAATTCTGTTTCCAATTGTTCACTCTAAGGTCTTCATTATTTCTCAGATAGAAATAGACATTGATTCTCTCTCTTTCTCTCTCAGATGCTGGACACTGTTAAATTGTATTATAGGAAAACTATACGGAAGCACAAACAGGAACTCAGTTTAAATTATAGGACTCAAACAAAATGAGTATAATTAGCTTTGAGTTGGCCAAAGGGACTAAAATTAACCTGAGCACAATTTACTATTATGTTACTCCAAACTCCATAAAGTACTTACCTATTCATGACTTTCACAAGAGCTCCAGTAGCCAAAAAATGATAAGTATGCTATAATTTTGTTTGAAACTCATAAATAAATACCATACACAACCCAGTGTCCAGCTTATCTTCTGAAACAGGACGCACACTGGTATTCAGTTAACTCGACTCTGACACTCCAAACAATTGTGAAAGCTTTTTACTCTCTCAGCTTATCACTTCCCTTGTGCTCCAGGCAATATATTCCTCACTGGTGGCAGGCAGAGACATAACTACAACAGTCAGAAGTGAGAATGGCAATAAAACAATGTCATCACAGGAGCTCAGTCTCTTGTCCGGTGATATTTACAGTATATGATCTTTAATTACACGCCCGGAACTCTGAAACATTTCAAGAAAACCATGCACATTTCACCTAGGAGGTTCCCCAGTCAATGCACCCTCGAAGGGTGAGCATGTAGTGAAGGAGAGCAGCAACAATAGAGAATGGATCCTACTGTACCTGGCGAATGAGGCGGAGGCGAGCACAGCAGAACAACCCCCTGGCCTTCCCTCACAGAGACTGCACTTCTCGTCCGGCCACTAAAATTCCCCAGATCTGTCAACATAACACAGCATTTAGACACAGGACATAAAGGAGTGTAAAGAGTTACTACTTTTGTTAACTTGTACTTACTTTTCTCTCCTATCCAGACAGGGTTTCTCCTTGTTTGTTAAGTAGTGATAGGAGGGCCTTAAAAAGAAATCTACACCAGCCCATTTTAAGTACCATGATTTTCAGACTGTATGCACACTCTTTATCTATAGTGCATACAAGTTGCCAGTACAAGAAGAAATTAGATAGTCATTTATAACACACAATATCTTTCTTTTATTTCTTTATAATATTTCCTACGTACTGATTTTTCTACTGCCAATAAAACCCCTTCATGCATAGCGAGAAGAGAAATAGAAGTGGTTAGGGGTACCTGCTGTCCAACCGCATGCCTCACGATATGTCAAGCTGGGAAGCGTGTGTAAAACCAAGCATGCATCTGTCAAATTAGAGACTTTTGCTCTAGCAAAACATAATGAGGCTATAAAATGTTGTTTTTTTTCTATAAATGTGAGTGAATCAGTCATGTTACTTTCATTTTATAGAAGCCTGGAATGGCCTTATGAATTAATTACACTCATCTATTTTGATTATGCTGGGAGTATTACAGCTATCAAAACATGTATAGATCTGAAGGATTATAGCATTGATTGGGGTTCATTTGCCTTCCCTTAAATTATGTGACATTTCCACAATTTTGAATACTTTCCTAAAAATAAAGTCACCTAAAAAAGAATTATGTGTAATATTTTCATTTCTCATATTGTTTATTAACACATTCATAGTTCAGTACATATGTACCTTTCCCATTTCTTGGGCTAGATTGATCAAAGACATAATTTTTAGAATAGTTTCTTAGAAATGGTAGGAATTCAGTATTTTCATAAATAAACATTGTCCCAGAATTCTCAGTCTGTAAAAACATGTTCCCATGGTGAGAAATGCTTGTGGAAAATGTTCTGCCTTTCCTTCCATTATTCATCAATTATAAAAGAGACTTTCTTAAACATTTTATATTTCATGATAAAAATAGTATATTTTAGATTAATACAATGCAGACCCTCAAAGTTAATCTTTGTTAATCTGACAAATGATTAAACCAAGCAGTCAAGAAAAATATAATAAGTGGATAGGAAGGAGATAAATCATTAACTTCAATATCCTAAGAACGATTCTAACCTTACTTTTGTGAGAGATGGTTAACAATTTACTGATATGCTGAATTTATAACAGAATATTCTTAAATACATTCAAAATCATAAAGGACTAATAAATAGTAATGGCAGAATGACAAATAAATCATCAAAGAGGTATTCATTATTAAAAAAAGTGTTTAGCATTTTACACATAATTCTGTGTTTTATTATAAATATTTATGTGTTTCTCCAAGTGGCAAGAGAGCATTGTCCTAGTTCTATTTTTTTTTTTTTTGGTGGTTGTTTTCATTTGAAAACATACACACTAACTTCTAGTAAAAATCAAGTTCATCCATTTTCAGATGTCAAATTCTTAGAGATAGAAGTTTTCTTTTCTTCCAAAAAGTGATCTCAATATGAAAACAATGGCATGGTTTCTAAGTCGACTTGCTTTGATTCTGCCACACACAGTGCAGGAGCCACACAGTAAGGCATGGCTGCAGCAGGGCTGTAACATCTCTTTAGAGAATATATGGTTTTACTTTCTCCTTTTCATCTTCATTGAATTTATAAACTCTGGAAAGCTATTTGGATATCAATTTAATTCTATTTCATAAATGGTTTCTGAAAAGTATAAGAGTAGCTTCCAACACATTTACCACTACAACTTTATATTATGCTTATGACATTTCTAATCAACCTATTATAGTTAAAAAGGACCTTTTAATAGAAAACAGTACTAAATTAATGCCTGTTCCTGAGAAATTCAAGTATAGGCATGGGCTAGAAAACAGACACAAAGCAGAAAAGAAAATTATGGAATTGTTATGACCTGAATTGTGTTTTGAGGTCAAAATGACCCAAAAGATAACATTCATCTATAATTACATTATTTTGTACCACCTGTTAACACAGGTACAATTCAACATGTCCTCATGGAACTGTCTCTGTGTCATTATTTCCTAGGTATTATAGCACCAGCTGTACAAAGATAAGTTGATTGTTTCAATTGTTAATAACTCATTTTTATATTTCATAAAGACATATAGAGAACACTGAAAAGAGAGGTCTGCATTTTTATGGAGAGTGTGTTTTTATAATTTAAATCCTTCTGCCTACAAAAAAAGTGAAATGTTTTTGTAATGTGAAAGTGGTCCTTGTGTCACTTAAGATTCTGCTTAATCTGAGGCAGAATGATTTGTGGGGAAATTTCTTGGTTGGAGTGGGGATGGCAACTAGAGAGTGCAATCTGAGTGAAAATACAGCTGGTTGTTTTTCTCTCATTGCAAACAGAAAGCAGCTAATCTCTTGGGAGGTATTCATCAGAGAACTTGGAGTGCTTATCGCATTATTAATAGATACACATGCTGATATATCAAGGAGAGAAAGGAAGCAAAAGGTTCCGGTTTAAAATATGAACTGAAATAAACCTTTTTCTGGACTTACTATAAAGGGTATGGACAAATACATAAGCAATAGGCTGGAAGAGAAAGTTTGTGGTCAAGACTCACAGGGCCCTGGGCTGTGTCTTTTCTCACGCTTTTTCCAAGTTCAGAAGCTCATGCAGTTTAATAGTGGAGCTTTAACCAGAACTGCAGCTTACAAAATTATTACCCTTATTCATCCTCGATAAACCATGCGAAGAAAAAGAGGTGTGCAAATTAATGATGGAATTGAGAGCTTCACATGACAGAATGTAGATTTAGGATGTGTGATTTGAAGCTCGTTGACAAGATGGGAGACAAATTTCTTCAATTCATTTAACAAAATTTTATCAGTGCAAACTTCACATAGAACACTAAGATAGGCACTTGTGATACAGAAAAGCTGCAGAGAAAAGATATAGATATATGAGCTAATCATCCGTACTTGGGCCAAATGTCCAAAGACCCAGCTCAGAGGAGTCTGCGCCACTGAATGGATGCATGAGCCCAAAGCATCATAGCTTCTCACTGTCACAGTCATACTTATGAGTTACCAGTGCATGCCGTATGCCATGCACATTTCCCATGCAGATGCTTTTGCTATTCTGTTAAAGGTAAGCTACAAGCACACCAATATACCAACTCTCTCTCTCTCACTCTCTCTCTCTCTCTCTCTCTCTCTCTCTCTCTCTCTCTCTCTCTCTCTCTCTCTCTTGCACACACACAAACACACACATACTTTTTAGGTTTCTTCTTTCCTTTTCTCCTCCCTCCCTCCCTCCCTCCCTTCCTTCCTTCCTTCCTTCCTTCCTTCCTTCCTGCCTGCCTGCCTGCCTGCCTTCCTTTCTTCCCTCCTTTCTGCATGCCTTCTTGACTCCTTTCTTTTCTTCCCTGCCTTATTCCACAAAGTATTGAGTCACCTTAAAATATATATGTATACAATACAAAAAGAAAAACAGGCAGTTGACAAATTCCAAGTGAAGTAGAGTGTGTGTGGTAAGAATACTGTATATAGGGTAAGATAAGCACTTAAGAATATATGTTACATACATTTGTAAATTATTAGAAGTTGACAATAAATTTGATGCTAAACTTACAAGGACCAAAACACTTATTTAAAACATTTGTTATGCCATCTGTGATGAGATATCACACCACTTTTTAAAAAATATTACTTATAGCCTAGCCAGCATTTCTCAGTGGTTGAGCATTGACCTATGAACCAGGAGGTCATTGTTGGATTCCTGGTCAGGGCACATACCTGGGTTGTGGGTTCAATCCCCTGTTGGGAGCATTCAGGAGGAGGCAGCCAATCAATGATTCTTTTTCATCATTGATGTTTCTCTCTCTCTCTCTCTCTCTCTCTCTCTCTCTCTCTCTCTCTCTCTCTCCTCCCTCCCTCCCTCTCTGAAATCAATAAAAAAGGTTAATTGTTAAAAAAATTTGTCTTTTAAGACTATCAGTTGAGTTGATTAGAGGTATGTTAAAAAATACTTTCCACCCTAGGCAGCTTGGTTCAGTGGATAGAGCATCGGTCTGCGGACAAAAGGGTCCCGTGGCCAGGTTGTGGGCTTGATTCCCAGTAAGGGACATGAAGGAGGCAGCCAATCAATGATTCTCTCTCATCATTGATGTTTCTAACTCTCTCTCCCTCTCTGTTCCTCTCTGAAATCAATAAAAATATATTTACAAAAATACTTTCCATCTATTACATGAAGATAAGAATTGAATGAAGATACAGCTGGACATGTGGTCAGGTAAATATACAAGATATAATGACAAGTTATAATGAAAGTTACTTCATTCCCATGGTTATTTATGACAGGTCAGATGAATAATCTCTTATTATGGCTTGCTATTTTCACTTTACATATTTTTAAACATGAATCATCCAGTCAAATGGGTTTTCAATTAAGAGGAAATTAAAGCATGCTAGTATAAGTTTGCCTTGAAAGAGAAAATTTTATCTACATTATAAGTAAAACAGTAAATTGTAATTGCTCTTGTAAAAAGATAAATTATCCAAAGAGTGTGAAAAATATGTTTTTGATCTTAGGTCTTTTCTTTGGTATCTTGATATGCATTACAAAAAGCTACTTCAACTGTGAATAACATATGTCCTGAAGTAATTTCAAATGTGAAAGTTGTATATAAACTTGTTTAACTAATGTGACAATAGTCTATGAATCCAGGCAGGGGTTGTAGACATTTGACTTAACTTTTTATACTGTGGATAAGCGATTTCATTAAAAAAAATATTTGCTTACTTCTATTTTTTTTCCAAACTAAGATCAGTGTTAAATTCATTAAAAGTATCAGGAAATTATAAGGCCAAGCATTGGAAAGAAAAATATAATAGAAATAATATAGCACTTATTAAGATTTTGAATATTATAGGCCCAAAAAATTGGGGGAAGGGTGTTTTTTAGTTAAACCAATTCAT